ATTTGTGGGTGGAGGGGGGTCTGGTGGGTTGGAACTGGGGTGGAAAAGAGTTGTTTACGTTTGGGCTGGGTGGGTCGGGTCTGGGTGGGGGGAATAGGAGGGGGTAATGATGTGGAGGATGATGTGTCTGATAGATCTTCGTAGTCTGGAAGGCTGTTATATGTTTGTAGTATTCTGGCCGGTTTGGGTAGGTGTTCCTGTTTGATATGTTTGTTAAGCCGGAGGATGTGTTGTTGTTTGAGTGGGCAAGTATTTTGTGTGGCTGTATGACCCTCGGTTTCGCACTGTATACAGTAGGCCGCCCATGTGCATTCTGGGGTTTCGTGTCTGAGGGACCCACATTTCTGGCACATGGGCGGTTGTCGGCAAGTGGCTGTAGTGTGATTGTAGGAGTGACATATGTTGCATTGTGGTGGGTTTTTCCTTATTGGATTAATTTTGTACCTTAGTGCTCCGAAAATAATGTGTGTGGGTAGTGTGGTGCTCTTGAATGTAAGGAAGATAGTTTGTGTTGTGGTTCTGCCAGGTATGGGTGTTCTGTTGTTGATGCTCTTATAGTCTGTGATTTGGGGTTGTGAGTGGAGTTGATTTGCTGTTTTGATGTATTCTAGTATATCTTCCTGTGTGTCCCTATGGTCTATGTATATTACCCCCTGTATAGATGTGAGCCATTTTGGTGTTTGCCATGTAATGTTTAGACCGTCTATCATAGTTTGTCTGCGTGCTTGATTTAGTGTGTCTTGAGTGGGAAAGGTGATTTTGAACCCCCTGCCACATCTCTTTATATATTTGTATGTTATGTGTACTTTTTTCAGGCAGAGGGCGAATTTGTTGTTTGAAAAGGTGTCGTTGAGTGGTGTTGAGTTTGTTGAGAATGCCAATAATATGTGTTTGTTTTGATCTGGTGCTGTAGGCTGTTCAGATGTTGAGGTGGTTGGAGGTGTTTGTTTGGCACATGTTTTCTTTGTTGTGAGTGAAGATTCTGTTTGGGATTGGTGTGGTCGTTTTGTAGGTTTTGGGGATGGGGGTTTGGGGGCTGTTTTGGGTTTGGTTTGTTGTGTTTGGGGAGGATGGGGGGGGAAATTGGAGTTGACTGTTGGGGGATGTGATGCTGCTGTGGGGTTGGTTGAAAGAAAATTCTTGTAGGTCTATTCCGAAATCAAAGGGGACAGGGTTTTGGTTGTGAGTGGGTGTAAGTCCCGGGAAATGGGTGTCTGAGTGTATGGGTGTTGTGAAAATAGAGTCTGTAAGGGGGGATGTGGGGGGGGGGGGGGGGGGGGGGGGGGTGTGTGTTTGATGACATGATTGATATAAACAAGGTAATGGCAATATAACACAGGGTTGATTTAAATACTATCAATAGAATATAGAGAGAAAATATATAAATACAACAGTTACCAGAAAAACTAGAAAGAATAGAGGGGAGAGGGAGATGATAAAGGCACTTATCAAGTTTGGTTTTGTCCTTGGGGGTCGCCCTGGGGGGTCAGTCCCTGGCCAAGATGGCCGCCGACTGCCGGCTTGGTATAGTTTTGCTGTCTGTTCCCACTTGGGGTGTTTGTTCGATATCCCAATTTAGGAGATTACGTTGCTCTGGGGCAGTAATCTGCGTGATCTCTGAATTGTAATTTCCGCTATGGTGTTTGCTCCATAATGGTTAGAAACTGAATGCTTACATAAAAAAAAGTTGCTAGATATATAGAGAACTTTAATTTATGGCGTCTTTTAACCATCACGACAATAATACTGAGTGGTCCAAGTCAGGTTCAGGAGAAGTGTGTTTTCACAGAACGAGCTGCTCGGAGATGCAGCACGTATTCTCGCGGTATGGCAGATTACAACTGTCTCAGATAATCCTGTTTTCCTAAACACACTCATAGATAATAGAAGCATTAAGAAGAGTTGAGGGAGAGGTTTATCCTGAAATGCAAAGTGTCTCACCTTACCTTCTCCAAGTGTTACCCTGTGAGTATGATCATTGAAAAAAACCACGACGGATTATGTAAAAGCAAGGGATTTTCCGACCAGACACATACCATGAAAAAAGGGTTTCACTTTTAGTGAAATTTTCTTGAGACGATACAGTGAAAGTGCTCGACTTTAACAGACCAGTTTTCTTTGAGTTATCGTGCAACATTATTAGGTGTTATATAGGTAGAACTAATACTAGTCATGTTGAGAATGTAGAGGATAAAGGGCTTCACTTTGAACTCATGGTTTTCTTTAAATGCGATAAACCGTGACATTATAAAGTGGTACATAGGTAGATATAACACTAATCTATGGATGTAAACACATTTGAAGATAGATCTGTGTGTTTAAAGTTGATTTTGACAGCCCGGGCCAAGTCGGACCGAACACTTCTGACACAGATATTCTTAAGAAAATACAGTAAAAATGCTTCACTTTGAGCCCCTTGTTTTCTTTAAATACGATGTACCGTGACATTATAAAGTGGTATATAGGTAGATATAACACTAATCCAAAGATGTAAACACATTTGAAGATACATCTGGTGTGTTTAAAGTTGATTTTGACCGCCCGGGCCAAGTCGGACCCAACACAAGCCAAACACTTCTGATAGAGACTATGTTGAGAATGTAAAGGGAAAAGGGCTTCTCTTTGAGCCCCTTCTTTTCTTTAAATACGATGTACCGTGACATTATAAAGTAGTATATAGGTAGATATAACACTAATCTTTAGATGTAAACACATTTGAAGATACGTCTGTGTGTTAAAAGTTGATTTTGACAGCCCGGGCCAAGTCGGACCCAACACAAGCAAAACACTTCTGATAGAGACTATGTTGAGAATGTAGAGGGAAAAGGGCTTCACTTTGAGCACCTTGTTTTCTTTCATTACAGCGACCTGAGACACTATAAAGTGGTATTTAGGTGGATATAGTACTTATCTATAGATGTGATTCCATTTGATGATACATCTGTGAGGTTTAAGTTGATTTTGACCGCCCGGGCCAAGTCGGACCGAACACTTCTGACATAGATTTTCTTAAGAAAATACAGTAAAAATGCTTCACTTTGAGCCCCTTGTTTTCTTTAAATACGATGTACCGTGACATTATAAAGTGGTATATAGGTAGATATAACACTAATCTATAGATGTAAACACATTTGAAGATACGTCTGTGTGTTTAAAGTTGATTTTTATCGCCCGGGCCAAGTCGGACCCAACACAAGCAAAACACTTCTGATAGAGACTATGTTGAGAATGTAGAGGGAAAAGGGCTTCACTTTGAGCACCTTGTTATCTTTAATTACAGCGATCTGAGACACTATAAAGTGGTATTTAGGTGGATATACTACTAATCTATAAATGTGAATCCATTTGATGATACGTCTGTGAGGTTTAAGTTGATTTTGACCGCCCGGGCCAAGTCGGACCGAACACTTCTGACAGAGATTTTCTTAAGAAAATACAGTAAAAATGCTACACTTTGAGCCCCTTGTTTTCTTTAAATACGATGTACCGTGACATAATAAAGTGGTATTTAGGTAGATATAATACTAGTCTAAAGATGTGAATCCATTTGATGATACATCTGTGAGGTTTAAGTTGATTTTGACCGCCCGGGCCAAGTCGGACCGAACACTTCTGACAGAGATTTCCTTAAGAAAATACAGTAAAAATGCTTCACTTTGAGCCCCTTGTTTTCTTTAAATACGATGTACCGTGACATTATAAAGTGGTATATAGGTAGATATAACACTAATCTATAGATTGTGTGTGTGTGTTTAAAGTTGATTTTGACAGCCCGGGCCAAGTCGGACCCAACACAAGCCAAACACTTCTGATAGAGAGAATGTAGAGGGAAAAGGGCTTCACTTTTGAGCACCGTGTTTGCTACTGCAATATGAGACATTAAAGTGTTATATAGGTTGATATGATATTATAATTAGCCTATAGATGTAAAGTATGTGTTGTAATTTTAGAAGCGCTTTGACAGTTATTAACACGTGTCGTGTCAGTCATATGACATTCGCGAATATCCACTTGCAGAAAACATCCTGTGTTGGTTTAACATGAATTAGTAAAGGTTAATTAGGTATGCCAAACACGTTAATTAATGAGAGAAGAGTAGTCAAAACACTGTCATTTCGAATTCCTGTCCAGGACATCACACCCCTGCACGCTAAGGTCGGTGAGAAACCTTCTCATCAAAGTAAAGACACAGTCAAGACACTGACTTTTCGGTATGAACTCTCGGTATGTAGCTATAATTATCAGTTTATTACATTGCTGAAGATACATTTTGATTCAAACTCAATTAAATGAGCAAAACCATCCGCTTCTGGGCATTTGAGATCTGCCTAGATATGCACGTTTCGTTTTATTATTCTGCAATCCATTTTTAGTATTACCCGCTGGCCCGGCCCGGCCCGACTTTTCTTGGCCCGACTTTTAGGCAATCCCGTTGTCAACGCTTAGATCACCAAACTGTAAGTGTGATATATGTCGTTCAAACCAGCTCACTCAATCTGTTTCGAACATTCAGCAGAAAATATATATTAACCAGCTGTGAGTTGAGATATCAGATTTTTACAAGCAGTCGTTTAAGGAGGCTAAAGGACCTCTCACTGATAAGGTTCTTGTTTACTTAATATTTTGTATATACATTTATATATTCAGTCTACATGTTTCAGTGAATTAAATACAAATTTGCTTTTGAATATAAAACATGGATAGACCAACCAGGAGTGGTAGATATAATACGTGTCTATAGATGTAAACATATTTGATGATACATATGTGAGGTCAAAGACCATAACATTTAAAATTTATGGTCTCTGGTGAGGTTTAAGTTGATTTTAACAGCCCGGGACAAGTCGGACCGAACACAAGCCAAACCCTTCTGACAGAGACTTTGTTGAGAATGTAGAGGGAGCCCCTTAATGCCGAGCGCCAGACAGGGTAACAACAAGTACCATCTTTTAACGGCTACTGACATAAAACCTTTCATATGTGTTTTGAATTGATTTCAGAGAACAAACGAACAGGGGCAGTTTAAAGACGGGACTTCTATATTTGAAAGAGGAGATTTTATGTTCAGGGTCAATTCACAACAGTTCGACTGCTGCAGACGCAAAGATGTCCTATATCTACCCCATACATAATACAACTTATATCTTGGGTGATCTGATCCATGTGCGAATTGATCTGTTTGATGGTTCTGGTAATCGGAAGTTATCCGGAGGCGATGTTTTGAGGGTGTGGATGGAGGACAAGAAGACTTCAGCTTCCGTTTCTGGTGTCGCGTCCGATCACAATAACGGAAGCTACTCTGTCGCTTTTAGAGCTGTGTGGTCAGGAAAAGCCACCATCAAAGCATTCCTTGCCACAAGAAGGGAGGAGATAGTTCTCCTGTATAAGTTGTACCAAATATATTCAAGTCTCTGGTCGATACATGCTGTATTCAAGGGGGAGAATATAACAGAGAGACCAAGATGTTTTACGAGACCGAACACTCGTGCACAGACACATTGGTGCAACTTGACTCAAGAAAATGATGGATTTCCCTGGTACTGCATGAAATCAAAGAACACCTTGACGAATTGTGACATGTGGATCGAGACGTTCTCTGCAACAAACATCCACTACGAACTTAATAATAGCACTGAAAACACAATATTAAGTTGGTATGTATAACTTCTTCATCTTTTTTCTACATTTAAAGATTCACCATTTTTAATTGGGGGCCCTTCGTCGGGACAGAAATTTCAGAAATGGTCCTTGATCTCTCATCACTATACCCGTGCTCAGGACCATTAAAGGTGATTAACGTGTATGTCCTGAATGGGGCTCTCCTCCCAAGCTAGGATGACATGATATAATTAGACTATTGAACGAGTTCTCGGTATGTACGAGGCACTGGTGCCCTAGTCGTCCATTCGTTGTGCCGAGTTGCGTCCCTTGGGCACGCCAGAAACCTCTGGTCGTGGGTTCGCATCCAGGTTCTCCCCGATTATGTTTCTAGGTTTGTCAGCATACCGGCTTCACCTCGGGTTTGGACATTCGTAAAAGGGTGGTGTTGTGTTTTGTAGCAACGTTAAATGCAAATTTATACGTAAAACAACTAACAGGTAGAAACCGGTTGTAAATCCGATATTGCATGAAAATTGATATTTGCCTAAGAGCGGCGCTTTTAATCTTCCCGTGTACACGCATTGAAAGGTGTTCCTGCTATTGTTTGTGCAAAAGCAACGATCAACAGGAAAATATAAGCATTACAGCAGTATGCAATTGATAACAGACCCGTGAAGATCCGGGGTAGAATATTATAGGTCTTCAGCAACCCATGCTTGCCATGAAAGGCGACTATGCTTGTCGTGAAAGACGACTAACGGGATCGGGTGGTCAGGCTCGCTGACTTGGTTGATACATGTCATCGGTCACAACAAACAAACCAACCAACAAACAAAATTTAATATATTTACCGTCCTTATGGCAACGGACATTTTGCCTATCTCTATTTGAATTTACAAATCTCTGCACTACCATGCTCCTTTCAGCGGCACAGAGTCACATAATTGACAGTTGATTTACGCAAGGCATAGAGCGTAAACATTATGCAAATTGTCGTTTGGCAATATATCGACAAACAAACGCTTCGAATTACAATCGATAACTTAGAATTATTACACATGTTTGATATTCTTCATGTTGTAATAGAAATGGTTATGATGAATTAGATAAACTGTCATGTTTGTATATATTTATTTCGTCAAGGTCTGCAACAAATGCAACGCAAGGCATCTTTAGGAGGACTGTGCCGGTGGTCATAAAAGATTGTAAGTGTTGAAAGCGTCTCGTTCAGTATGAAACCATTTGTATACAAGCGTAAGAACAAAGTGTGTATCGAAAAGGAACATAATATTATATCAGTTGTAACGTTCATTCATTACTGGACATATCATATGATACCTGACCAGTGAAGTTCCCGGGAGAGAATTAGGTCTTCAGCAACCCATGCTTTCTGTAAGATGCGAATAATGGGATCGGGTGGTCAGACTCGCTGACTTGGTTGATGCATATCATCGTACTCCAGTTGCGTTGATCGATGCTCATGATATCAGTCATTGGATTGTCTGGTTCAGACTCGATTATTTCTAGACCTCCGTCACAGGGATGGTTGCTGATGAATGTAATCTGGCCCAAAAGTAATTTAAGTTAAGGAAAACCTTAAATATTATAGTGAACGTTTACATGACGGACATATTGATTTGCAAGTTTTGGGCTTTCGACTGTTGCTTGATAAGATCTAAACCTTTCGAAGACGGAATTGCGTAATTGTGAAATCTTTTGCTGTGGACATTTCATGATGTCATAGAAACATATCATCTTAAACAAGAGCAAATTGTTTCGCGTGTGACAAGTCAGTTTAATTAGCAGGGGTCTGTGACCTTTGGAAACTGGACAGATTTGAGTTAAAGCAGATTGTTGTTTTGGGTGAGGTGAGATGAAATTGGGTTTAACGTCGAGTCATAGATTTTTGCACATATATAGCGACGTGCGTGCACGTATTTATGTGTGGCTGCTTGTACTCGTCCGGAGTGATGATTTATAGGGCTAGCGCACGGAGATACCATGCTGCAGCTTAACATTAATACCCCACTCAGACACAGTATACTGACTCCTAGACGACCAGCCCTTGTTTTAGCCCCTTAATGTCGAGCGCCAAGCAGGGTGACAACAAGTACCAACTTTTAACGTCTTTTGGTATGATGCGGTCGGGGATCGAACCCCGACCTTCCGCTTTTCGAGCAAACGCTCTACCACCAGACCATCCTAATCATTAACTAAGAACGAATATACCAAGAACACATGTAGTTTACACATATCGACGATATGTTTGACATCATTAAGAGAGGTCACGTTTCAACTGTATACTGACTCCGGACCGACCAGTCCTTGTTTTAGCCCCCTAATGCCGGGCGCCAAGCAGGGCAACTACAAGTCCTACAACTACGGGCCATCCGCTCTCCGGGCGGACCCAGGCTCCATCCATAGTCCACAGATTTCATAATTATGTAATTCCTTCAACTCTCAACATGAGTGAGTTGGGTTTAACGCCGCTTTTAACAGTATTCCAGTTATATCACGGCGTATCAGCTTAATGTGGGAGGAAAGCCCGAAGTTATGCAGGTCTCAGACGTTTACCACTTCGGTGAAACCCACGAGCACGGGTATGGTGCTGTCAAACCTACAAAAATAATGGGGGTGAACCGGGATTAGAACCTACAATCATAGGTTTCTGGCGTGCCCAAGGGACGCAACTCTGGACAGCGAATCGCGGCGCCTTAGACGACTGGGCCACCTGTCAAGGCGGGTGACACCAGAAATGGGCTTCTCAAATTGTACCCAAGTAGGGAATCGAACCCGGGCCTTCGGCGTGACGAGCGAACGCTTTAACCACTAGGCTACCCCACCGCCCCCAAAACAATCAATACCAGTAGAGATCCTAAATCCGTTTTAATATAATAACATATTGTTTACATTTCCTTTGCATCTTGTATTGTTATAAATAAAAAAAAAATTAAGCATCTAAAATAAGAAAAATAAAAAATCTGATAACATGATAAAATTGTCATTCATGTGAATGCATATTTCATTTCGATTTCTTAGAGTTCTATGTTCCTTTGCTAAACTTTTAATTGGGCCAAAGCGTCCGACATTCACAATCTGAACTTTGAAATATAAACCTTCACCATGTTAGTTTCCATAACATCATCCTGGTCCTGACAACATGATATAAGATATGATTTGATTGTCACAATGTTTCTGTTTCAGCTAAACTTACGTCAAAACTTACATCAACCCCTATTGCCTGTAACAGACTCGCACCACATCTGACATGGCAAAGAAAAGCTCCGAATGGCTTCTTTTACAATAACAAGTGGAGCTCGCTTCTGTGTAATGACACGCTGCCTCGAACCGTTGATGCGTACAGACATTGCTTGAAAGGAAGGACGCTCTGGCTCCATGGGGACTCAACAAGTATGCAGTTCCATATTCGTCTTCGCTCCATCTTGAACTTAACGTCTCATGCACGTGGACATACGCCTGTTACGGATACAGATTCAACATATAATTTTTCGCTTTCCTGGCATGCTCACGAATTACCATTCTATCATGGATCTCAGCACTACCCGCGGTCAACAAATCAGGCACAGCACATCATGATGGACCGTCTCCCGAACACAACCAAGGATATCGTTGTGTTATATATGTACGTTCATTTCACGCTTGTCCATCCGGATGTGTTTAGGCGACATATTCGGAGACTTGTTCCATCTGCAAAGAACCTCTTGGCACGCGCTCCAAATGTTACAATTGCAGTTCGTGGCCCACATGCATACTTCAGGGCGAGGAGAGGTATGCTGTCTTACTGGGGTATTCTTTATGCTGATATTTGGCATCAGGAATTCGCTTCGCTTTGGGACAAAATTATTTATTTAGATTTCTGGGATTTGACAATGGCTAAACCATCTAAAAATTTTCACCCACACGTGAACACAGTGAAACAAATGGTACACAATATGATGTCATTGTTGTGCTTTAGGACGTGATAGACTTGTCAATGCCGACTGTCGTAATTGTTTTCAAATAAACAGTATTCTGGACATATCTGCAATATGATTGACATAAATAATCGATGGGTATATTTAGAAATGGCGTTATGGTCCTAAAACGTAGTGAAGCAACGAGGCTAGATCTAAAATGTGAATCCTCGTTAGTCTGGAACCTCCCTAGTTCGAAAACCCCTTTATTCCGGAAACCCCTTTAGACTGGAAACCCCATTAGTCCGGAAACCCCGTTAGTCTGGAAACCCCGTTAGTCTGGAAACCACGTTACTCTGGGAATCCCATTCGTCTGGAAACCCCTTTAGTCTGGAAATCCCGTTAGTCCGATCTCCTCGTTAGTCTGGAAATCCCATTAGTCTGGAAACACAGTAGGTTTATATCATACATGTATGTGCCACCATTGTGATCTCAATACTCCTAAATAGCCTTGATACCTCGCTTCATAACGACGGCTGCGTGTGTATCAGTATGTATACAATTCCTGTTATTGCCATACGAATTTGGAATATACTAATTTTCTTTATAGCACATCTTAAGGCTGACATTTTATTGATTTAACATGGTACATAAAAACAAGACCAAATTACATTTTCACTGCTATTATAATTATAATGTAGAAAGAGTTTGCAAAATGATTTCAGATCGTTCACAAAAAACAGCCCATGTTTGACCACTTATCTTTTTGTATCTGTATCCAAATGTATGCAAATGTTGCCATAGCTTGCAAATTGTAATAATTAAATCATGCTCAGTTTCAAGGTATTTCTTCAAGAATCTTATTGACTTGTACATATTTTCTGAATGTAGTTTAATAAATGCACGTCTGAGTTGATTATTCTGAAAACTGTCTTATTTTATTTATGTTCCGATTATGTTACGCTTCGATTGCTTGCAAGAGCCCCGTCGGTGGATACATTTTCATCTTGTTAGGAGACATACCAAGAGCTTTAAACGCCCGTTTCAAGTATTTATTAATGGCATAAACGGGTTTTCCTCTTTCTGCTCACATTGGAAGAAATCATACACCTTAGAACAGTCAACAACGGCGTATACAATCTAGCACGTGCAGTACGTGTTGGCGATGTTTCTCCTACCGTTGTGGGTTCCTCCGTTCAAGATGTCACATAACATGATAGTTTTTTAAACAATATTTTCCAGTGATGGGGAAAAACTAACAAACAGCAGGTGCTGTTGGATACAGGGTACACATTGCCATGTACTGTATTGACTATAGACTATTCCCGACATGGAGTAATTTTGCAATTCATCGTTCTCATTTGGAGCCAAACAGACTGAAGTTGTTAAACATATTCTATCTATTTGCCTTTACAGTCATTGTTGACCCGGGGTAGAATAGTACTTCAGCAACCTATGCTTGCCGTGAAAGGCGACCATGCTTGTCGTAAGAGGCGACTAACGGGATCGGGTGGTCAGGCTCGCTGACTTGGTTGATGCATGTCATCGTATCCCAATTGGGTGGATACCAACAATATCTCTCAAAATGAAAGAAAGGTCATTTGATAAGTAATAAAATCCATAACTACATACAATTTCAATTACAAATTGAAAGAAAGGTGAGTGTCGAGTTGACATGGTAGAATCCCCGCGGTTTGGCCGAAGCCGCCCCCACGAGGATAGATCTTCTGTCTCACACGATAGATACTTCGTCTCTTAGACCTGTATCTAACCACCATGCTACGGCTCACCCGATAGACTTACACAAAGCTAAGCTATATAACGATAGGCTTGACAGCCATTTTGTTGTGAAAGACCACTCGGAAACGCTCGGTAGTAATCGCCTTCTATCTTTCACTGACCAGGGACAGATACGTGCTTTTTCTGCGAGAGTAATATGGAGTAACATACAATTATATCAGGTACACAGAGCATCGTTTAATCAAATTTTAAGGATGATAATGATTGTATGAGAGGAGAGACGTGACTGACATTCACGACAAGCATATTGTTGTAATATTTGCCAAATATAATGTTTCTTCTTCTTAACCTTCTTCTTCGCACCCCCTCTTTCTCTCTCTCCCTCTCTCTCTGTCTCTGACTGTCTCTCTTTTACTCTGAGTGAGTGAGTGTGAGGTACGTGCGCGGTGCGTTCGCTCATGTGTAGTGAAGTTTGTCCTTTTGAATGTGTTTATCATATTATTGTGTTTGTTTCCACAGGTCAAACATCTGTCAAAGTCGCCTCTTCAGGAACCATCTCGGCTATTTTTCGGACACATAAACACTGAGATTACTTACTATAATTTAGGTATCAGTTAAGAGCCTGCACTTTTCTAAAAACGTTATATCGCGTTTATTTAATAAGTAATATAGTCCATAAGTACATACAATTTCAATTACAAATTGAAAAAAGGTGAGTGTCGAGTTGACATGGTAGAATCCCCGCGGTTTTGGCCGAAGCCGCCCCAACGAGGATAGATCATATGCTTCTGTCTCACACGATAGATACTTCGTCTCTTAGACTTGTATCTAACCACCATGCTACGGCTCACCCGATAGACTTACACAAAGCTAAGCTATATAACGATAGGCTTGTCAGCCATTTTGTTGTGAAAGACCTTTCGGAAACGCTCGGTAGTAATCGCCTTCTATCTTTCACTGACCAGGGACAGATACGTGCTTGTTCTGCGAGAGTAATATGCAGTTACTCAACCATTATTCCGGGTCAAGCCGAATAGCGACTCGTGCCCCTCTCGCGGCCATTTTTGTGACGAGGTTCCGTCTAAACGCAAAGGGGCACAGCAAAAAGAATTGTCAACTTGTTGCGTAATGATACACGTATATTTCCCCATATATTTTATATATTTCAGGTGCAATTTAAAGCACATGGGGACGTGCGGTATTATACAGTATGACTGAACACATTTAACTGTATCATGTGTTTATTCTTAGATGCAAGACATATGTAAATAAAAAAAATAATCTTGAGGGATTCTTTGACAGACGAAATTGAAGTCATACGCGCTTTCTGATTGGTTTGTCGTATTTTCGCACATAACATTCATCGATAGGGTGACGAGTCCTCTTGCAGGTTAAGGAAAGGGGCGAGTGGTGACGAATGGTAAATCGCAAGACATCCGCTGCTGTGTTGACCGGCAATATATAGTGGAATGTATGGTCATACAAAAGGGTTAAACAAACAGACAAATTTTAGGGTTTTCACCTTTTGAAAAAAACCTATCGGTTAACCGTATCCGTGATCTAAAAGATAAAACGTTTGGAAACGCTTCTTGATCGAAATGAAACTGAACAATTAAAGATTTGATCAATACGATGTCATTCATATCATTTTCTGTTGTCGAGTTGGCTTTAGATATGAACTCCAAAAGTGAGTTATTTTTTCCAGCACAGCAATGAAACCAACAGCTACACAGATTGTAAATCCTTATAATTAAAGGCTTCTTTAAGCCATCAAATGTAATTATTTAAACGCTTTATCATCAGGAACATAGGTCACAGCATTGTCGTGATCAGAAATCTTTAAACTATGTCGCGACTAACAGGGACTAACAGGGAGGCAACTCGCGACGCCTTCACAAGCTCCAGTAGGCCAGACATCTATACACGAGGAAGGGAACAGGCGAGAGGCGAGCAATGGAACGAAGATCCGCCTGTAATAGGCGATTACCTCCGAGTGTTTTCGAGTTGTCTTTCACAACAAGATGTCTGACAAGCCTATCGTTATATTGCTAATTAGCTTTGTGTAGGTTTGTCGGGTGAGCCGTAGCATGGTGGGTTGATACAAGTATCTTTCTTATGAGCCAGAAGCATATGATCTATCCTCGTCGGGGCGGCTTCGGTCGAACCGCGGGGATGCTACCATGTCAACTCGACACTCACCTTTTTATAAATTTTCAATTTACCTTTTACTGTCGTGAAGTTGTATGTTCTGATAATTAGTAGGCGTAGCTTATTGCCGTTAATACGAAAAGCACGATATTCTCTTTTACATACCTTCCCATTCTGTTTTAATTGAGACATACGTTACAGTAAATATTGAAAAACAATCTCATTTTTCATTACAGTAAACATTCCGGAAAATATCCCATTTTTATACCATCTTTTTGGACTGACCTTGAAGGTGGCTGACGATGATTTTTGACTTATGTTTAACAGTTTAACATGTTCAAAGTTAACACAATTTACTGATTAAGGAAATGTCGTGACTACTCGAACTGACATATCGATGGGATTTCCAAAAGACGTGTTTCCTTCACAAAATAATGAGGGTGACATTTTGGGTGAAGACGTTAAATATTCTTAATTTATGTACTGACCCCGAATGTATGTATATTATTTGAAACACCTCGTCAAAAAGGAATATTTGGGTTATAAGTTATCTGGATGAATGGCAAATAACAATATTCCAATATTGATCAGGAATGTATAGACACATGTTCACAATAAATGAGCGGCACGGGTTGTCCTTTGCCACAAGTTGCCACAAATCTCTTAACAGCAAGGATCCGCTGCTCGTTTGTTGGAATCCCAGATTCGACCCTATTAGAAACCTTCGTTTGGCCGCACAATTCCCGTGCTCCGGGTTTCACCAAATGTTTTTTCAGCCTGCATCGATGTGTGTTTAAAACCCACATAAAAGTGATCAAATCGGCATTAAATCTTTACTCAGTCGAAATGATTCACCTTGGTCAAGGCATTCACGATGCGGCTGCTGTTTGCAGTGACAGGAGACAAGCAGGTCAATGTCCACTATGTCTCAGTCATACGGCTGACCGATTGACCACCATTTGGTAAAAACAAAACTCGGCCGTCACCAGCTGGCTGTGTTAGTGTTGTGTAGTACCCAATGTAGAATGCATTGACCAATTAAGCAATAAATCATTATTTATGGTACTGCGGAGGCAATACTTCTGTAGTGCAATAACTAGTTACATGTAGTAGAGGTGTTCATTGCACTACCATACATAGAGACTATAACGACTGCATCGATACCCTCAAATTCATGTATATGGATATCTAATCCTTCTTAAATTAGTTGTCATTTATAAATATAATCTACTGATTGTCTGTGCCATTATCAGAGAGTCACAACCTCTCTGAATCATTATCCCAACAGGATGGGTACACTGATACAGTGATACAGTGATACAGTGAATACTTGCTGTAGTGACAAATGACACAGTGAATACAGTGGTACATTGATACAGTGAATACAGGGCTTAGAAACTCAATAAGGGAACAGTGCTTAGAAAAGAAGAAAAAGAAAAAAGAAAAAGGAAAATGTTTTCGTGATCGTTTCGTGGGGATCTTGTACTTCATCCACAAGACTTCGTCTTTCAACATTTTCATGTAAACAGGCTAAACACATTGCTGGAATTATTCGTCGCTAACCACAGTTAATATTTTCAGTTTTAACAAAAACCTCACGTGAACCAAGGGTGGTGCTAGTATTAATGCGAGTGGCTTTAGCCAACATTCTTATCAATGATCGATCGGATTGCTACGAAGGCTGTCGAGTGCGGCCGAGTGATACCGAATGGCCTTGCACAACAAGATGGGAACCGCTGATATTGACATATGTAGTTAAGGTTTGGTGTTATTTGTGGGGTGAGCTGTGGCATGGTGGGTTGATATAGAATCTTTCCTATGACAAAACAGCATTGGATCTATCCTCGTCGGGGCGGCCTCGGACAAACCGCGGGGATACCATCATGCTAACTCGATACTCACCTTTTTGTATTTTTCGGGGGGCCGTTCCATTTTATTTTCTGTACATAAAAGAAGTCAGAAAAATATAAATCTAATAATTACTTCTATAAATATTATGAATTCGTTCTAAAATAGGAGAGTTGTGTTGTTCATATCTGT